ACAAAAAAAAAAAAAGGAAAGAACATTAAAAAGCGACACAAACTGAAATTAGTTATTTAAATCTATTTATTTAAAGGAGCTTATATTATGCAGAAAACAGCCGACTTACACTTTAGTATTTGTGATTCACAATAATATAAAAATAATTAATATTTTTTTACTTATACTTAATTTTTTAAACCAAAAATATTTAGCAATTTTACTGCAAATGGTAATTCTGTGAGATTCTGTTGTCACAATTTATTAAATACAATTTAGTGACATCCGTCGAGGAATAACGGTACTTACTTAATACAACTACTCAATAGTAGATGGCGTTATATGTTACATGTGTGAAATTTAAAATATAGCTTCCGAAAGTAGGTAATAAATAAAAAAAAAAATAAACTTACGCTAATTATATTATGCAATAATTTAGAATCCTACGCCCCCTCCGCCCCTCTTAATTACGCCTATACACTATCCCACTTTTCTAATGAGTGATAATGGAATGGTAACCCCACCTGTGCTATCGGTATACACCGGCGGTGCACCAGTGAGGGATGATAGGTGACGGTGAAAAGGCAGATTAGTTAGCCCATCGTGATAAATTCCACAAGAATTAACCACGATGCTTTTCAATGGAAACGGCGTGAAGGTCAACCTAATAGGGTATATTGCTAGCAATGGGACTGTTAGATCCCCATCCTTAAAAATCCCTTACCCTTCCTTTAGGGATAACAATCGTGTGATATATATATTCTTTAAATCCAATATAATTGTTAGTGTAACATTTCACTATGGGAATATTATTGTAAATTACGTAGCGTCTCGGCACAGCCCTACTACAGTCAACCCTAAACCGCCCGCGGCACGAGTGGGGTCGCTTGCAAAATTTTTAATGGCCGAAATATTGAAATTGCAAAGTTCGTGACGTTTCTATGAAAAGGAAAAAGTGCGAATAGCGAGTTAACGGCGGCTGGAACAATCGAGTTTAATGATGGATAGGCGGGATTCTTGTAGTAACGTGCTGTTGAAACGTTAATGCAAAGAGGGAATCACTTATCACTTTTTAAACAATTATTATAACGCCATCTAGTTTTGCAAATTAAAAGTACCTTGTAGTGTTGGTAGTAAATGACATATATATATATATATAATATATATATATATATATATATCAGCCTTTAACTGTCCACTGCTGAACATAAGCCTCCCTCTTGGGGGTTTTGCCAGTAGTTGCCACGCTTGGCAGGCGAATTGGCAACAGCAGTCAGGCTTTGGAGATGTTTTAATATGGACGTTGCTGCCCATCCCTCGCCTTCCCTTAGTGGCCGCTTACTACAGCCACGGGAAAGGAAAAGATAGCCTTTTACATGCCGGGACTTTATTCAAACACATTCAATGTGTCTACGAAAAATCTTATAATTCATTTGTAATCGGGCGAGTTGAGAAACTCTTGTTGAAAGTCGCTTAAAAATGATGGGATTTACAATCAGGTTCAGTTTGAATGTACACTTATATATAAATAGATGCGTGAACTCATCTGTCCGTTCGTGAGTGGGTCACCCCGGTGACTCACCCCCGGATTAATACCGCTAATGCAATGAACCAACCCCGGATAATTGTTAATGCGGGAACACCATATGTTAACGGGCGTCCCCTGTCATTTGTTAATTTTTGGATTTGGGAAACAACGGGCACATTTCGGGGACAAATTGATTTTTATTGTCGTAACACATTAACGGGACCCGCCATATTAGAGTAGATTCATCATCTTCATCATTTTCATCACCACCACTGGTAGTTGCTACGTTTGACATACGGATTGACTTGACACGCAAATTACAAGAAATCCAAATTAAATATAAACTAGCAATCAATTGGATTTCGTACAGATAGCTAGAATTTTTAAAAATAATACATTAGAAAGGAATTGTTAGCAACGGGGTCTAACAGCACCATAGCTGGAGGAAAGGGATTGTTAGTAATGGGGGTCAAATAGCCCTATAACTAGCAATATACCCTGTCAGGTCGACCTCCACGTGGTTCCCCCTAGAAACCATCGTGACTAATTATAGTTTAATTCGTCAGGATGGGCTAACTGACCTACTTTCATCTTCATCTGTCATCCCTCACTGGTGCCCCGTCAGTGCATACCGATAGCGCAGACGGGGTTACCATACCATTGTCACCCATTAAAAAAAAAACTGCGCCATTGCTAGCAATATAACCTATAAGTTAGACCTTCAATTGTTTCTCTCTGGTAACCATCATGCTGAATTCCAGGTGTATTCATCACGATAGGCTAACTGATCTGCCTTTTCATTCTCACCTATCATTCCTCACTGGTGCCCCGTTAGCGTATACTGTTAGCGTAGGCGAGGTTACCGTTACTTTAACATAAATAAAAAAATACACAGGCAATATTAGCTTGGTATTTTTTTTTATACAACTTAGAATGGCAAACTAGCTGACGGCCCCACCTGATGGAAAGTGGTAACCGTCGCCTGTTCACATGAGCAGTACCACGGACATAACAGAGTACACTGTTTCGCCCATGATACCCCCCGTGCGTTGCCATTCCTGAGGACTCAGGTGTTACTCCTCTGTACCCAGTAAATTCACGCCATATCCTACCCTTCAAACCGAAACACAGTCATGCAAACACAACTGCTTTACGGTTGAAACATGAATGCGATAGAGGTACCCAAGCAAACGACATTTGTACAAAGCCTCCCTCTGGTAGAATTTTGAATTCTACGCCTCATCTCCTCCGGGATAGTATCACCGATCGGTCTCGTCGCTGGCAGAATCAAACCGACCACCCGACCGCTTAGCCGCAAATTAATTTGTCGTGAACATCGTTGGAACTCATCAGAATTCTCAATTGGGTGGAAGCGGTAATTATTACATTACAGCGCCGTCTTAGGGAGGTGGGGTGGATAGGCGTGATAAAATTATGACAAACATACGTATATTAATAACCAGACTGCCGCGTTTTCGGGTTAACGCGCTTGCTGAGGAAACAAAATTAAATAAACCAAACTAGATGGCGCTGAATTATAGATTTCTTGATTTTGATTTATCAGTTTGCAATATTTACTAATACTATAAGTGGGGGGGGGGGGGGGAAGGGATTGTTAGCAATGGAGTTTAACAGCCCCATTACTAGCAATATACTCTATTAGGTCGACCTCTACATGATTCCCCCTGGAAATCATCGTGAACAATTCTTGTTAAATTCGTCATGATGGGCGAACTGACCTGCTTCATCCTCACTGACACCGGTATATACCGATAGCGCAGGCGGGGTTACCATTCCATTATCATCCATTAAAAAAACACCCATTTTTGGGTTTGATTGTACCTCTGTCCCATTCGTGTTTCAACCATAAAAACAGTTGTGTTTGCATGGCTGTGTTTCGGTTTGAAGGGTAGGATATGGCAGTGAATTTACACGGTACAGAGGAATAACACCCGAGTCCTCAGGGATGGCAATGCATGGGGGGTATCATGGGCGAAACGTATACTCTGTTATGTTTATGGTACTGCTCATGTCTATAGGCGACGGTTACCACTTTCCATCAGGTGGGCCGTCAGCTTGTTTGCCATTCTAAGTTGTATAAAATAAAAACTTGGATTTCGATACCCAAGTTTTTTTTTTAATTATCATAGAAACACTACTACTGTTGGGCATCGGCTGACTGTCTATGGTCGGGTCTATTATTCGTTTGTTGAGTTGTGTGAGTGTGGCGCCCTCTACCTCTTGACAAAGAGTTTCCACTTCTTCCATTATACACTAAGGCTTCTGTCTGTATCACTAATCAGATATAAATAAACCAATTGATTGACACATTCAAACATATCGTCCGATTTAACCGAGCGAAACTAAAAGGTACGCCTTCGCCACGTGCCGTGTACTTCGTACGTATAATTACGCCATAAACCAGAATGGGGGTCGTCCAATTTGCTGGTTTATAGGCGACAAGCTATCCGGTGACGTTTGCCTGTTCGTTATACAGATGTACGGGTTATTGAAGTGACATATAGGTGAAGGTAGGACCGACCTAGTCATCACCATCGGGGGGAAAGGGATTGTTAGTAATGGGGTCTGATTTCCCTATAACTAGCAATACACCCTATCAGGTCGACCTCCACGCGGTTACCCCTGGAAACTATCGTGATTAATTCTAGTGGAATTCGTCACGATTGGCTAACTGACCTTCCTTTTCGTCGTCACCTATCACCCCTCACTGGTGCCCCGTTAGGGTATACCGACAGCGCAGGCGGGGTTACCATTCCATTACCAACAATTAAAAATAAACGTCACCCACTAATATCCTAACTGAAACCGGTAGCGTTGACGGGTTACAATTCCATTAAAAAAAAAAAAAAGAAAGTAGGGCTGGCACATCTATTGACTTTACATTTTCGTTTCACGCCACTCCCTAGGTCAGTAGTCGGCGGGGACGGGGCAGTGTGATGACCTTACAGGGGCGCGGGTTCAAATCAAACTGTTGATATTTATACACTTTTTAACCGACAGGAAAAAAGGAGGAGTTCTTAAGTCAAATATAAGGCTACGGTAACCACCAAAAAAATAATGAAATAGTTACTAGACAATGTCTGTACATGGGAGATATTAAAAAGAAAATAAAGCGATAGGTCTTTATAAGGGCAATTTAAAGCGAGAAATAATATTATTAAAAATTTTGTCTGTCGATCTGTTTGTTTTGACATCACGCAAAAATTACTGCACCAAATTGAATGCGATTTTCACAGTTGTGTTCCTGAAGGTCTATCTTAAAATCTGGTGTTGGCTTGGCAAAATATCCTTCAAAATTCACCATTAAGAAAAAACTATAAAGAATCGAGACAAAACATATCATTTAGCTATTAAAACGAGACACAAACATTTTAATGGCTTTGCCAACCATAAATGAGCCATGAGACGTATTAACATGGCGTCATTGTCCCAGTGTGTAACTATTAGCTAAATTAAGAAATTAGGAACATACCCAGCTATGGCTGTATGCGTTGAGTTCCCGAGTCATGTTCGAGAGTCGAGAATGCCATTGGGCGGCCGACGCACGTGTGTTCCCAGCTCACATCTGCGGACCAACAAAAGAAAACGGTTTTTGTAAACAGATTCTATTTTCAAAAATAAGCATACAAGCAGATGGTTTCATTGTGTCGGGGTTTTAGTTGTGGTAGTGCTGTACGGTCTCGTGTCTATGGTCGTTTATTTTTTTTTCTATTCAATTGAGCACAGACCTAATAAAAGATTTAATATACTAACTACCATAAAGGTAATAATGCAACAAATTACTCTGTCAGATCGTAGTAAAATATAACAGTAATAAATTCATCATCATCACCATATCACCAAGGATTGTTGACAGCCCAGGGTTGTCACTCATGTGTTATCGATTCTTGTATTTTTTCTTTTATCAGACTGTGATTGTGTCCTTTGTACTGTGATTTACAGTACATTATTTCATAGAATCACTTAACAATGCAACAAATTAAAGACTCATTCGTACACAGGTTTGTAATAGAATGGATATAATATTATATCCTCCTATAATATACTTTTTTACATTAAATAATTATCTAGTACAAAACTGTACATTGTAACAAAAGCTGAAAATATTATATTCATGCAGTTAACTGGAAAAGTAGAAAGCTTTGATCAGTTAAATCAACATTATTTTTTTTAATTATTATTTTTTTCACCGAGCAATTTAAAGTTCGGCCCCCAATAAAACATTCTTTCAAGAGAAACCTTCTAATTAATATTAAAATAACTCGATTAAAAAGAACAAACAAAATGATAAGTGAGCAAACAATATTTAAAATACCTCCTTTAAAAATCTGCGTAAGCTTAAAAATACTGGCATAATTACAGGTCCTTGCCTTTGCCTCGCGAAAAAAAAAAAAGAAAAAGGTAAATAAAGAGGCCGCGAAGCGACGACAAAGCGCGATCGTATCGTCGAAATAGCGAGCCTTTTAATTAAAAACTCTAATTTCAAAAATGGAACGACCGTATTCGAAATTCAAATTTGAATTGTGAATGAATATTTTGAGGCGCGAGTTCACGAGTGACGGCCATTGTGTGTATTTCGTTTCGTTGTTTATTGGCATTACGCCATAGTGTTACACTGTCGAGTAGTGATGAGATTTGTATGTGTGACAGAAACAAAAGTCAACGCATCGTAACAGACTGGCGTCAATAGACTATCGTTAGCCAGCTCGACTGTCAAGATCAGAGACTAATTATATCTATTGTATGAACACATTTCATATGAATACATATCTAATAGGGGTGGAATATATAGCAATATATATTGTAGTCTCAATATCTATTTATTGACTTAATAATGGATATATTAAATATGTGTTATCGAAATGAAGCACCCAATCTAAATGTATATATACCTAGATATCAGACTGGTGTGGGCTATATCGAAATGGTTGATGACATTTTTCCCGTCATCACTGTCCAGAGAAGCTCGATATATAGATATCGCTATCGATACCGATATCACCGATACCTAATATCTAAGTCTCAATATTTCAATAGATATATCAATGCTCTTTGCTCATTACGTGTGTTCCAAGTTACATCATAATTAGTAAATTGTTTATGACAGTAATTGTACCATAGATTAGCTGTTATGTATCAACATTTTATCTTTGGTTTATTTATAATTATGTAAGTTTATTTTAACACTACTAATGAACTTTGTATATGTGTGTGTGTGTGTGAATCACTTAGACAATATTATTCATTACAAGAATGAATATGTAGTTACTTTTTTTATTTTTTAATTATATATATATTCTTTATTGCACAAAAACATACAGTAACAACAATAAGTTAATAACAATGTTAGCAAAGGCGGACTTATCTCTAAAAGAGATTTCTTCCAGTCAACCTAACGCAGTGGCATAGGAAGTAGTGAGTGGGCAGTAGTAGTGCAAGACAGAAATTTAAATAAATATTTACATAAATTATAAATAATTATATATATACACACATACATTCACATATATACATACATACACATACACATATATATACATATACACATACATATACACACATACATACACACGTTAAATACAACATTTATTACCAATTATATACCTTGTCTGGACTCCAATACATTTTTTTTTTACAATTACCCGCAATTTCATTACAGTTAACAAAATGTCCCACCAATAGTTGTTTCGGTGAATATTTGATAATTATTTATGTATGAAATTATTAAATTGTATATTAGTAAGTATAAAATAAATTTGAAAATCCTATTACTGTTTGTATCCATGGATATTTGTTGTTTTTTTTACGCAAAAACTACTTAACGGATTTGAATGAAATTTGGTACACGGGTAGGTTATATCCTAACATAGGATATTTTATGTACTGATTCACGCGGGCGAAACCGCGGAATACGGCTAGTATTAGAATAACAATACCAGAGTAGTTCGTCTTTAGTTAGGCTTATTTAATTAAAAATAGTGAATGCCAAGCCCTTAAACAATCGAACCCAATTTCAATTTTAATTTTTAAATATGGAACGCGTTCGCGACGGACGTCCGCGGCGTTCAATTTGCGGCAGGATGCAGCCAATCGCGCTCGTTCCCGCCTCGTGTGACGCTCGCGCATGCGTACAACATACCATATTGACATTTCATTGTAACTATGCAATTTAATCTTTATTATTAGCAAGCTACGTGTTATATTGATTTCATATGGAAGTTTGCAATTGTGCCAACATTCGCATACCGCTTGTGGGGTATAATTTGGGCTTAAGTTAATTTGATTTAAGGTTTATAATGATTGTATATGTTTATCGGTGGTTTACGGTCCCGCAAGGGAGCCATACGCCGCCATGTTCAGTCTAATGACCGCGTTTGCGTTAGAATTGGCAAATTAAAATATAAGGGATGGGATAAACTTTAACGAACTTAACCACCGTTTTCCAGAGTACACCAAGACATTAGGACAGGTTTTCAGTCCACTGTGAATAAGGCGTTATTTTCCAGCTCTTAGGAGTTGACCAAGGATGGAGATTAGAAGAATTAGTCCCCAACGATAGAAATGATTACCTTAGTAGTATAGCGAATAGTAATTTAACACACGGCCTCACATTCCAATGGGAGACTTTGTACAAAAGTCGATTGCTTGGGCATCTCTGTCACATTCATGTTTCTACTTTGAAGCAGTTGTGTTTGCACGGCTGTGTTTCGGTATGAAGGGCGTGAATTTACAGGGTACAGAGGAATAACATCTGAGTCCTCAGAAATGGCAACGCATGGGTGGTATCATGGGCGAAACAGTATACTCTGTTATGTCCACGGTACTGCTCATGTCTATAGGCGACGGTTACCACTTTCCATCAGGTGGGCCGTCAGCTTGTTTGTCATTCTAAGTTGTATAAAAAAAAATGGTCGTAAGTTCGATTGTCGCATAAGACAAATGTTTGTATTTGGTTTAGGCTTTATCTATATATAAAAAATATATATTAAAGAAAAGTACTTAATTAAATACATATGTTACCCGAAACCCGTAGTACAAGCTCTGATAATTCAGAATTTTATTCACTAAATTATTATGGGACCAACACAATGAGTAAATACTCGATTGTGAAAAGAATTAATGAAATAACTTAATATTGCACAAAAATTGATACACAGAATTGATTTTGTAAAAAAAAATCTAAGGTAATCGATCTGAAAGTATATCCTTTCAAATAAAAGAGAACTATCCAAATGTTTTGAGGTAACAAATAAAAAAATACTACCAAATCGATTAGAGTTTAGAATTGACGAAAATATTACGTTAAGTTGATTTAAAAAAAAAAAAAATACAAACAAATTGCTGCCTTCTTGTATCGCTTAAAAATATTACAATGCATACGCAGAAAACAATAACAATGCATTATGGATTGTGCAGGTCGGAGCCGCTTTATAAAGAAAATTCAAAAATATTCCAGAAAATCTGGAACAAAACAAGTGCATTATTTTACTTTGAATCGCGGTCGAAACTTCTTTTACGTAATCGAGACATATTGCCTAATACGTGATCTAGGCCTATGCAAAATTTCATGAGAATTGGTCGAGTCGTTAAACGGGCTATGGTTAAAAAACAAGCAAATAATAAAACTACTGAATACGTCTCTACCTTCTCAGTGACTGTCATTGGTTCGATTTAGAACAGTTGATTTAAATTTGAAATTCAAATATGGAACGATTCCGTAACCGATAAAACGGCCAGTATTGTGCGATGTTCTTCAAATCCCCTCATTGTAATCTCAGATTTGTTAATAATAAGGTTACTTTTTACAAAGATCCTCTTTGCTTTACATTTGAATGGAATGGGCCACGTGTCGATCAAAATGAATGTTGATTTTCTAAAAAAAAAATATATTATCTACTTTAGTTTGCATTAATACATAAAAAATGAATGTTTGTTGCCAGCGCGTTACCTTTTCATGGGCAATCGCATTCAAATTGTATTCAAAACAAGGAAACAATGTCAGAACTTTTTTTACAAAACATTCAAACTTGAGGCCCGAATTGAAGTTTCGTTTATTTTTCACAACTTTAGAACTTATTTTGAAGTGTATATTTTCCAACAAAAGGTACTTACTGTTCTGCAAAATAAGTTTTTTTAAAGTAACTATATAGGAAATAAAAGAATCTTTTGGAAATAAGCATATTAGAAAAACCTAGCTTTCGTGAAAATTAAAAAGCTTTCGTAGTTATTGACAGATGTAAAAAAACAAAAGTGAATAGACAGGCAGGCCTTAGTGTCTTAAAAAAAAACAGATCGGCGGCATGTTTACAGAGATGGCGGGTGTCGCAATTTGAATTTCGAATATTCTGTCGTGCCTCTGTTATCGCTGCGCGGGGTCAGCGCTTCCTATCGTTTTTATCGTCGTCACTTCCCGTTCGACATTTAAAATATTGAATTTTTTGTTACGGGAATACGATTGAATGTCAGTTTATGGAATTATGACTTTTTTTTTTAAACTATAACGTCAATATTTTATGAACCAACATCAGAAATAAAGAAGATTCTGTCCCACAAAAAAGTAGTTAT